ACTTCTTACTAGCTCTTGTTGTTCACAGAGACTCGTGGCAGGTAATGATGATATATTGTGTAGCTACATGTAACATGTATGTCGTACATAGTAGATGCATGTAGTTTGGAAGATAATTTGGGCAAGTTGCTTTTTAAAAATGAAGGTTCGGAAATTAATAATTTTTTACAAATGTTTTACCATGCTAACATCTTAAGTTAAGGTTTTGGTTTATAGGAATAATTTGTTAAAATTTTATTTGCCTAAATTTCTACTTGCTACCGGGCTTGGGGCAAAGTACATGTACTCTAAGAAGTATTTAAGTACATTACAAGTACCTGTTAAAATTTTTAAATGAGTACAAGTACAAGTCCCTCATTTTTGCAAATTGTATTGAGTATGAGTACGAGTACTCTATTGTAGTACTATTTAAGCATTTGACCACACTCAAATAATTATTTAAGCCTGCTTGATACCTATGTACATGTACATGTGCATACAGGATGTGTAGTTCTTCATTTCAAATGTACGGTATGTAATTTTACTACTTTTGTTTCTTGAATTCCTGAAATTTGCATTTGCATGATGTACAATGTACATGTACATGATCATTAAGTAATTTTTCATCTTTAATTGATACAACTGTATAACATACTGTGTGTACATGTAGATATATGATGCTATTGTAATTCATCCTTGTGAGCCAGGAGTAACTGAATAGATTAATGTCTACAACCTAAAATGGTAAAGTCATTTATTGATATTTACGATAAAGTACTAGTACTACCAACTTAATTTGAACACTTTTAGGTGCGTCTTGTAGTGACGGACCAGTTCCTGATCTTTGTTGGACGGGACAGGGTCACCACTCCCTTGTATTTTGGGATTTGTGTATTTTAATGGGATTTATGGATATTTACCGTAAAGTACAAGTATTACCAACTTAATTTGAACACTTTTATGTGCGTCTTGTAGTGATGGACCAGTTCCTGCTTTTGTTGGACGGGGCGGAGTTGCCACTCCCTTGTACATGTATATCAGGATTTGTGTATTTTAAAGTCATTTATTGATATTTACGGTAAAGTACAAGTACTAACAACTTAATTTGAACACTTTTAGGTGCGTCTTGTAGTGATAGACCAGTTCCTGCTTTTGTTGGACGGGGCGGAGTCGCCACTCCCTTGTACTTGTATATCGGGATTTGTGTATTTTAAAGTCATTTATTGATATTTACGGTAAAGTACAAGTACTAACAACTTTATATGAACACTTTTAGGTGCGTCTTGTAGTGACGGACCAGTTCCTGATCTTTGTTGGACGGGACAGGGTCACCACTCCCTTGTATATCGGGATTTGTGTATTTTAATGGGATTTATGGATATTTACCGTAAAGTACAAGTATTACCAACTTAATTTGAACACTTTTAGGTGCGTCTTGTAGTGATGGACCAGTTCCTGCTTTTGTTGGACAGGGCGGAGTCGCCACTCCCTTGTACATGTATATCGGGATTTGTGTATTTTAAAGTCATTTATTGATATTTATGGTAAAGTACAAGTACTAACAACTTAATTTGAACACTTTTAGGTGCGTCTTGTAGTCACTGATGCTTGTGTTAGAGAAAGTTGAGTTGATGTCATGTACATGTAGCTATAATTTTTTGACTGTT